CACCCATTCTCTTGGTTCCAAATATGGTAACCCTTTCCCAGGGGACCCCCTCACCCACAAGGAGTACAGAACTATCTTCTCTCCTAGACCACGGATTTTATCAAAAGCTTGCTGCCTTAAACTAAACCCTGCCTTATAGTAGATGGTATTACTCCAGATGGTATTCTAGTCTGTATGCTAAAGTTCCTATTCCAATTTAGAGATTAACCAAATAGTAATAATTACCACAGAAGGCTGACATAATCAGCACTATTAAAGGCAAGCAATTTTTTGCACATTGAATGTGCAGGCAGGTGCTTTATAAAACTCAGCTACACAAGCAAGTTGTTTATTTTCCATAGAGTTTAATGCCCACCAGAATGTAGACTCTTAACATGTGCATTTCGAATATGTGAAAGAGAAGAAAATAGGTTATAATTTTTTTACATAGCAGGGTACAGAGATGGGTGGAAAACAGTGATTGCAGAGCTCTGGTGAGCCCCACGGCACATCTGGTCCCACAGGCTCAGGCACAGCTAAAGTTGCAGGGTGTGGGCCTGGGGCCAGGTACCTAGTTAACTGTCACTTAGGAAGTCACCTGTCACAACCAAGCCCAACTGTGCCTTAAAACTTCGTAATCAATAACCTCCTCTCCACAATGAGTTGTGTGTATACCATCTGTTCTAATATCATCACTCTGTAGCCTTCCATTTTGTTCATGATCTGAGATACTTTTCTCTCTTCTACAAATGGCTGCACTGTAAATGATTTTGATTCAACTGTGTCCATTTGGGGAGTTGGTTTGCATATGAGCCTACATCTTTATTCAGCTCTGATCCTTTTCCTGGCCCTGTGCACAGGGCTTGACTGTGAACCATCACGGGTGCCCGTATAAGAAGAAATGAAAGAGAGGAGGTGGCTCACACATGCAAAGCAGAGGCTCCCTTGCCCTTGAGCCCCTGACCCTGTGGTCTCCCAGGATGCACTGCTACGAAACCAGACTTTTAAATGGCTGTGAAATGGCCTTTGATTCCGGCTCACTGAATTACTTGACATGTTCAGCATTGTGAGACGAAGCAAGTACGTGAGTCCAGACCAATGTCCCCGGCATTGTGACGGTATTGTTTCTTAGCAGTGTTTTTGCTAATGATTCATAGACCACAGCCCTGCCATATGGGGCCTTGACATGTCTTCCATCCACCTTATAGCACGGTTACTCTTCTGTGCTTGTCCTTGGGCTAGAACGGGCACTGAGAAGGCCTTTGACCAGCATCCCAAGCTGCACTAAGAAGTCTTTTTGTGAATGACTTCTGTGCAGAGGATTATTGTTATTGTTTCTATTTTTTTAAATTATTATAGTTTGTGACACCATTTTCAAAACATCACATAACCACTCACCCTCATAACATCACTACTTTGTTATGTAGTTATAGCAGTGGGATGTTGTGTGGTTAGAGAGACCACCACCTTCACAAGACCACATAGTGCCAAAACTGGATTTGAATCCAGTCCTACTTACCCCAGTGTCTCCACACTTTCAACTAGTACTTTATGTGACTACATTATAGGCGTTACTTTTCTGCATGACTCTTTTCCCTTGGTAACATTAGTTTTGAAATCATTCCATGTAAGTTTATTTCATTCTTTTAATGGCTACATATGATTCGATGTTTTCTTTAACTGCTTTCTGATTTAGGTTGCTTTCTGTTTCTTTGCTCTTTTCTGTTACAAGTAATATTGAAGATCCTCAATACAAACACATTTAAGCACAGGTATGAAAATTCCTGTAGGATAGCTTCCTAGAAAAAGAGAGCTTGTGCATATTAAATTTTAATAAACATTGCCAAAGTTGCCTTCCAAAAAATTTTTTGCTCACCAATAGTGTGTGAGGATGCCTATCTCCTGACATTAGTCTCCTTCTTGTCATTGCCAGTTTGGTAAAGAAAAATATTTTTTTCTAAATTGTGTTTCCCTGATTCCTGGTGGTGGTGAGCTAATTCTTTATTGTGGGGGCCATCTATATGTCTTCTGGAAATTGCCTTTTGCACATATTGCCACTTACTTTTTATTAGAGACACTCTATATATTATGGGTAATAATCTTTTGTCTAAAATGTGTGCCAAGAGAGGCGCCTGGGTGGCTTAGTCGGTTAAGCGTCCGACTTTCGCTTAGGTCATGATCTCGCGGTTCGTGGGTTCGAGCCCCGCGTCGGGCTCTGTGCTGACGGCCAGCTCAGAGCCTGGAGCCTGTTTCAGTCTGTGACTCCCTCTCTCTCTGACCCTCCCCTGCTCATGCTGTCTCTCTCTCTCTCTCCTAGAAATAAATAAAACATTAAAAAAAATTAAAAATAAAAGTTTTAAAATGTGTGCCAAGTATTTTTTCCCTGTTACTTCTTTTTTAACTTTAGAAAGTTTTAGCTCTAGAAATTTTTATGTGTATACACAGTCATTATGTGTCTTTATTGTGTTCCTAGATTTTGCCTTATTCAGGAAGGCATTCCTACCCCAAGTTTACTAAATTATCTTCTATATATTCTTCTAATATTTCTATAGTTTTGTTTCTATGTTTAGCTCTGTAACTCTCTAGAATTCTTTTTCAGATAGGTTATAAGTTAGGAATCTAAATTTACCTTTCTTTTCATGGAGAGTCCAATGTTCTCACCATTAATGGAGTAATCCATTTTGTAACTCATTTGAAATGCCATCATTATCATAGACTAAATTCTTTTATGTAGAGCTGTGCAGTGGGTTCCTCTTAGTTATCTGTTTCACCAGTTTATATTCTATTCCAGTACCAGTAATGAAGTACTTTAATTATCTGAGCCTTTAGAATAACTTTTTTATGGGGCACCTGGGTGGCTCAGTCGATTAAGCATCCCAACTTTGGTTCAAGTCATGATCTCATGGTCTGTGAATTCGAGTCCCGTGTCGGGTTCTGTGCTGACAGCTCAGAGCCTGGAGCCCTCTTCAGATTCTGTGTCTCCCTGTGTCTCAGCCCCTCCCCCACTCACACTCTGTCTGTGTCTCTCTCAAAATAAATAAGCATTAAGAAAAATTTTTTGAGAATAACTTATCATGTCATGAAGGGAAAGTCTCCCTTCATTGATGCTCCATTTTTCAAAAACTGTCCGTATTTTTGTGCATTTATTTTTTCCATATGAACTTACAGAATCGGCTTGTCTATAGACAAAGCCCTGTGAGTATTTTAATTGGGAACGCACTGCATTACTAGGTTATTTTAGATAAATTGACATCTTTAAATATTTGTTTTTTGCATCCAGAAATACTGCATGTCTTTTAGCCTTTTATATCCATCTACTAAGTTCTATTGTTTTCTGTATGTAGATCTCGCATTGAAGGTTTTGCTTGTTGTGATTATCCCAGTATCCCAGTATGCCGACCGAATTTTATTGCTAGTCCGTGCGAAAGTTATTGGGTTTTCTATGTTAATTTTTAATCCAGCTATTTTGACTCTTTCATTGGTGACCTTCATACTTCTGTTATCCCGTTGGCTAGGACTAAAACAAGGTAGAAAGCCTTTGGTGAAAGTAGAAGTCGTTGCGTTGGTGCTCTTTGTTGAGAATGTGCCTGATGTCGCAGCGCCAAATAGGACAGACACACCATATCAGCTTGGAGAACTTTCGTTCCCCTCCCAGCCTACTGAGGAGTGTGCTTTTCACCGGAGACCACCCAAGATTCCTGTCCAGGTGCCTTCTTTCATTCACATTTGACTCTGGGTGACCTAAGGGAAAGAGTCACTTTGCGTGACATTCATCCTATGCCTCCTTCATCCCCTGAGGGAAAATAAATAACTAACTAACAGTGTATGAACCAGAACAAGAACACCACTTCTAGAGTTTTCTAACTGGGCACCATTGACCATACTTCATTCCTGGCTTCTATTTTGAAATAACTTCCTTTTTTTTTTTTTTTTTTTCCACTTGATTGTCTTAAGCAACCAACCACCTTCTCACACTCTGGTTGCTAAGTGGCTTTCATAGTTTCTGCTGGAGGGTGTGAGAGAGGAATCACTACCTGACCTCTGGTTTCCTGTTGAGATTTCATGCAGGCACACGGTGCAGCTACTTCTGCCTCTGGGCTCTCAGCTCTGCCTTGCGTGTGGTCCAGGTGAAAGAAATGTTGCACGCTTGATCGATAAAATGATTTCATCGCAGAGTACATTTGATCATTTTTAGGCAGTAAGGGTTTTTTGCTGAGTTCTAAATGAAAAGATTTCATTTTCTCAGGCTTGCATTTGGAGCATGACTTTAATGTGACTTGGCACCTGTCTAGAGAATTGTCCCTGTGTCCAGTGACATTTTGCTTTGGGGAAGTCAACACCTGCTGTGATGGCATCTGTCATATTTAGGAATGTGAAATGCTCATGAATAATGCAGGGCCAACGTCAGTAAAATGCCTTCTTCAGAAAACACTTAATATAAGACTTTGGTAAGAGATCGTTATAAGTGGTACAGAAGAGAATTTGGGGTCTTTCTGAGGTAAAAGTTGTGGGTGATGTCTTTTACTATGGTTCTCATGTCTATTTGCAAGCTAGATCTTATCTTTAGACAGTTTAGCCAAGGAAGCAAGAACCAGCTAAATACGAGAATCTTCTCTTTTTATTGCTTGAATACAAACCAAGGTCAGTCTCCACATCAGTTCAGATGTTGTTTTGGGGCGTAGTAGAATTTTTTGGAGATGGAGTGGGCTTATCGCAGGCACACGGCATGTAACAGGCAACCAACCCTGAGTCCCCAGGCCAGGCGAGAAATGGGCTCCAGAAACCCCGAGAAGCAAGGCAGCCCCATCATTGAGACATGAGTAGCTGGTCCATGAGCCCCTTCCTGTTCTCATGGGGTCGGTCTCAACTTCCACGGCTGCAGGTATAGGAGGGTAGGTCATTTGGGCCCTTATTTTTCCTGCCCCAGCTGTTTCCTTTTTTCCTCCAACTCCCCGAGTCCAGAGCAGAGGCCAGGAGCTGTGACAGGTGTAACTAAAGAGCCTTTACCCCTTCTCTTGCAGGCAGGTGACAAACATTACCACCCCAGCTGTGCACGATGCAGCAGGTGCAACCAGATGTTCACAGAAGGAGAGGAAATGTATCTTCAAGGTAAGATGGACTCGAGACTCCAGTAAGTTCTGCCCACCTTGCTTTGCCTGTCTGTCCATTTTCAGAGAAGGAGGCCTTTCATTAGCTCCAAGGCTCCCCAGGTGCGCAATGAACGTGGCCAAAAGTTACCTCAGCAGTTGGCATTCATCAGCCAAGCAGTGGGCACGCTGGCGGTAAACCCCCAGGTCTGTTCGACAAAGGAATGTGTTGCTTCTGGAATGAACGAGTAGGACTTGATGTTTGGTGCCATGGAGATGAGGCAAGAGTGAAAATCAGCAACACCTCCTCCCAGCCCTCCCCAGGAATAGGCTTGGGGAAAAAAGGCAAACGAAAACATTTCTAGATGCTACTTAGTCTTTGTTTCTTTCACTGTCCTGCAAGAAGGATTTTATTTTTTTGACACCTCCAGGCTGCTCTTATACACACTTTCAGAAAGACGGAACCTTCATATTTGGTGAATTGCATCACAGAAGTATCTCATCCCTTTCAGATACCATAGCTCTCATACTGAAAGAAAGAGACACAACAAGAGAATGAGAGAGAACATACCCAGAGTCCTTGAAAGAGAAATGGAGAAATTTCTGGGGGCAAAGAAATACATATTACCATTAATTTTTTTTTTTAACTGAAAATCATTTTGAGAAATTTTGCCAGGGTACAACCACGACTGGTTTTGATCTCCACTAACATGCTGGAACTTCTCAGAGAGAAGCTTAGGGAAGGATTCTCTTCCAGTCAAACAGCACCATCTGCACAAACATTTTACTATTTTTAGCTGGAAAAAGAGCCGTTAAATAGACAAGGGCTTATCAGTGAAATTAGCAAGAACCATGAGAGCCGGTGCTCATTCAGTTTGGTAATTACTGGGCCTCATCTGCCTTCACATTCATTTCTTTGTTTCTCAGCACATAACACTATGTGTATTTTTAATGAATGGTTTGTTCTCCTCTCTGTTTTGTTCTTACACAACTAAGAAAAGTCTACAGAGAAGACCCGTGATCATTAAAGCAAAGCCTTAGCTCCTTTCCTCTAAAAAATGCTATAACAGTAGGAGAAATGGACACCCCCAAACATCCCTTCATTTTAATGATCACTCTGGAATAGTCTGATTTAAAAAGCCACTGAATTTTAAAGGGCCTGCTCAAGGCAAGTGACAAGCTCCCTGGTTTCACGTGGACTTTATATCACACATCTCCCCGAGGGCAGGCTGTGAATCTGTGTAGCGATGGGCAGGTGTCGGTTTGCATTTTCAGCATGGAGCAGATTTATTCTCCATTTGGTGTCCAGGCATTGTTTTAGATTTCCGTGTGTCGATGACGGCGCTCAAAAACGAAGACACGAGCGTGCGTGTCAACCCCGTGTCTGCGAGAAACCGAGACTCAAAGGCTCTGGGTGCAGCTCTGCACGTGCACATGGTTCTGGAACCTGAATAGAGAGTGGGTTCAAGCTGAGCACAAACACAGCACATCCGTGCTACAAATAAGCGAGTACCCATCAAGATGGGCTGTGTTCAGGACCCCAGCCATCTTCTGGAGCTGGGCTTCTATGCAGTCTGCCTGCCCGCTCGACATCCTTGACGAATGAGTAGTTTGCCTTCCTCGTATCTGATATTCTCCCTGAGTCACGTTCTTTGTGTGTCTGACCCCTGGAGAACAATGTGACTCTGTGTGCAAATCCAGTGTTCTGGCCAACAGCTCCTGCTCACAGAACCTTCACAGCGAATGCTGCCCCTGGGCCCACCCCTGACCCTTAGCCCTCCACACTGGGAGGGTTTCCTACACTTTGTAGCCAGCCTTGGAGTAAACGTTAATCCTGATAGGACTATGTATCTGTCTGGCTTGTTTGTTTCATTTTCTTGCTTTGCTTTGCTTTATGTATATGTATTTATTTTTTGGCTCTGGGTTAAGGAAGATAGAAATGATGGTTAAATAAGGGATTAAAGAGTTTAACTCTGATATAAAGGGTATTATCCTTGTCATTAATATTATTTTAGCTGTATTAGCTCAGTGGTATAAAACAATTCAAGAGTTACTTTAATTTGGTGACTTTTCAAGGACACACAGATTGTTGCTTGAAGAGAAAAAGATTTAACAGTGAAATGTGCATAGTCTAATATTCATACGAAGACTTATTAAATTTATATGATTTACTCGCTGCTTTCAACTTAGTAACTTTATTTGCTCAAGTCTTTCTAAGTGCTCCTTCAGTTCTGCCCAGAGCCTTATGTGAACGTAGGACTTACATACAGGTCTTCACCACGCCTGGATAAATGACATGTATATCTAGGTATACAAAATCACGCAGGTGGGCTTGGATTCTTACAAGAGCTTTCTGTTGGATGTAAGTGTTTTGCTTAGTTCTGTGACACTGGTACCATCCACAGAAGAGCCTCTACTCTGGGAAGGTGAGGCATTGACTCAGAAACAGAAAATGACAAGTGGTAATTCCACTCATTTAAGAGTGAAGGCTTTTTGTTCATTAAACGGTTAAAAATTCAAGGAAACTTCTGCATTTGTAACATAACTTTGAACCTTGCCAGTTGGCTTCATTTTCCATATCTTTGTAAATGACTATGTGTAGGATCAACAAAAAATTCAGGGAGTTTTGCTTCTGGATATGGTTTGATTATATTCCCCTTTAAATTGGTTAGTTGTTTTGATGTTTTGTAAACATGGCCTATAGCTTATATTTAAATTCAACACAGCTTGTAGTAAGCACACAGACATGACTTTTAAAGGATAATAATATGGCCCAAAACAACGACAGCACTCAGTCAAGAACTAAACATCTCTTGCATCAAAACACTTGTGTCTAGGTAGTGGTCTCTGTGGTCTAGAATTATGACCTTTATAGAGCAAGCTCAGACTGGATGAGGAAAACTCACCTGGAGGTTGGCGTTGTCGTACTTCACTTGGGCACAGCGCTCTAACACTCCCATGTGTTAGGGAGAGAAGGAGCTGAACCATTCTCGGAAGTTCTATCTAACACAGCTGTGGCTTCTTTCCATTTTCCTTACCTCTTTGTGGGGCATTGTATCATTCTAGGTTCCACCGTTTGGCATCCCGACTGTAAGCAATCTACCAAGACTGAGGAAAAGCTACGGGTAAGGAAACAATTCGAGCTGTAATGCCAGGTGTATTTATTGGCCATCTGTGTCACAGTCACTACTTTTCAGGGCTGGAGTTTTGGGGAAATTACTTTTTCATGACTTTTTTCGCCCCTCAATAACAGACCAAGTTGAAAGACCATTTAGCCAGGGAAGGAAGTTCCCTTCCCTCCTTTGTTAGATCGATTGTGGTTTTTATTCCAAATGCATGTGTTGGAGAAAGTAAGCCTTGCCTCACTAGTCAGGTTTTGTAGGAAAGCATTCAAGGGAAAATCAAACCATACGCATGTGAAAAAAATAATTCATCCAGTTGTAGGTCCAACATCTGGTGACCTCACCAGACTTTTTTCTGCTTCAGTCCATAATGTACCACCTCAACCCAAAGTGCATCCACGCTCAGCTCTTGGTACATTTTACTGACCTCTTAAGTCCAAATTCATCAAGTAGCCTCTATCTCCGGAAGCTGACAGCTTGTCAGATAAAACCTTTGGGGAAATAATGATGAGCCCAGAAGTGTCAATGTGAATAAGCATCCTAGATGGTTTTGTAATTTAACTCGTAGGTAACATCAAAATGGTTTAGTAACTATCCCTGAACAGTAAGCACACGGGCAAAAGGGTAGACTCTCTTCATCTCTCACTTCTAAAACCTTTGCCTGGCCTTACTCAAGCCTGACAGCACCTCCAGGTGACACTGTTTTATCTGTTTCCGAAGCAAAGAGCTGTACACACGTGTAAGTCACTATCATCATCTGTGGCCTATTCGGGTGCCCTTAGTTTTTCTCCTTGACTGTGAAATATTTCCTGAGCAATAATCAGACTGGGTCCCAGTCCACAGCCTCTCGGTTTAGCTAACCCTTGGAAAAACTAGTTTGTACTCCGCTTGGCATCTCAGGGAAAACAATGGCCTGATGGAAGCCAAACTCTATAGAGTGTGGTATCAGGTCTTCCTGAGCTGCCATTAATAGGCATAAGCAGCTGTGTATTGTAACCCTATCAGCATCATACTTTTATGGAGAAGGGGAAAAAAAAACTTTTCCCAGAGTAACTGAGTAAAAACCAGACAAATTGAAAAGGAATTTGTCCACCAATGCCAGGATGGTTTTGGCATCTGTTTCTACATAACAACTCCAACTTGAGCACGTGCGTGTAACCCTCAGGTCCACCTGCCAGGCAGGTGCCCACCGAACGGTCACCCATGTTGGGCACCAGAATCTGCGCTTTGGAAACGGGTTATCTTTACAAAATCCTAGAACATTAAAGATAGTTATTGTTACTTTTATCATAAGAATGTAAAATTCATAGCATGGTTTGGGGCTGCTGCCCAGAAACCACCCAAGTAGTTAGTGACTTATACCATCTTTGTAGTGTTGTCCTCAGTTTTTTGAATAATCATTTTCACTTCATCCCTGATGAAATCTTTTGGGAGATGAGGAGAATGTTAATGAGACCAGAGTACATGGAATGTATGTCTTTGCTCTGTAAGGATTGCTTGAGTTTGCAGATAATGTTGCTAAAATGATATTTAAAAAAAAAAAAAGAAAGAAAAAGAAAAAACACTCTTGATTGCATCTTGATAGAACTCTCTGGATAAGCTTATGAAAACAACTAGTGAAATACTTCTACTCATTCTGGCCAAGAAGAGCTATTCATTTTTTTTTCCTTGAGTAAAGTTTTCCAGAAAATTCCAAAACTTCTCTCCTAAAGCCAACATTCAACCACTTGGGCGGTCAGGCCAGCCCTCAGCTCGCTCACCTTTGGGAAGCCCAGTAGTGTGAAGGATGGAGCACTCCAGAGGGGAGGAGGTCCCCGCGTACCCTGAGTGGGGTACGTCCTGGTATTGTTGGGGTTTAAAGGGGAATCAGTTTTTGGATAAGGAAGTAAATGTTGGGGTCTCTTAAGGGCTTGTCTACAAATCACAGACCTTGAGCCAGGATTTCCAAGCGTTTCTAAGGGTGTCACATCAGTGCAGTTACCATAGCAAAATGAAAATGTTTTAAGACTCTTTCTGCAGCCCCACTGAGTAATTCACATTCTTGGTATTTAAGAACTCACAGAGCATTTGTGATGACAGATTCTTAAAGACATCTCTCAATGGCTTCACTAGCTTCTTACTTTTCATACATAAAAATGTCTAAGCCGAAATAAATGGAAAGAAATCATGGGAAGTTAGAATGTAGGTAAATAAACTGTAACTTGAAGATCAGTTCCCCCCCCCCCCACACACACACACCAACTATAAAGTGATACCACTTGATGTTTACTATCAAATTTGTTTTCCCAAAGGTTTTGTGTTGTGTTGTTCTTTGTACAGTGTTTTCTAAACAGGATATTTCTTTGTCCATTCTTCCCTTTTTTCATGTTTTGTGGCAGCTGCCAAACATTCATCGTTCTTCATCTGATTTCTTTTATCCCAAAAGTCTGATCCGACGCACAGGACGGCCTCCGTCTCTGCAGGTTGGCGCTGTGTCTAGGTCAAGGCTTAGAGCCGCTGTCCTGGCCCCAGGCTTCTGTTGCTTTTCATCCCCATCCTGCTCGCCCCACATAACTCCTCCGGCTCCTGCAGAGGCAGATGCTTCTTCTCACCCCACGGAGTGCATCTCACATTCTGATTCTGGCTGTTTTCTTCTTTCATTTAGAGTACTGGCTAAAGTGTCACCTTCATTAAAGCGGGCACATTAGAAGCTCCCCTTTGGGTCCCGGGTTCACACATTTGTCCATTGAACAAATATTTGCCAGGCGCCCAGGTAGAGTTAGTGCTGGACTGGATGCTGTAGAATAACAGGGAAGACACGTAAATTATAAAAATAAAAAGTAATTATAAAATGGTATAAAGGCGTATCATGTAGATCAAGGAATGTCAGATGAGAGAAAGGGTCTCAAGGGGCACTGCCTGGCAAAAGTGGTCTTTGGCTTGAGTTTTGGAGACTGGTTGGATGAGCTCCTATGGAAATGATGAGAAAGGGGTGGGGCTGGTAAGGGGAATCACAGAAGCGTGGAACTAGGGGAACACGATGCTTGGGTAGGGAATGGTCCATCTCAAGAAGGCAGAAGTGAAGAGGGAAAGGAAATGGGAGACCAGGCACCACTTTGTAGAAGCCAAAGGATTTAAATGTACTCTATGTGCTCTCCATAAGAATCCCTGTGAGGTAGCTCTCCTTACTCCCATTTTACAGATGGAGAGACTAAGACCCATCACAGTTATGTAATTTCCCCAGACTTACCACCCCCCCCCCCGCCACACACACACACCCCAGGTCAGTGGAAGAGCTAAGATTGGAAGCCAGGTCTCTGAGCCCATGACTCATGCTCTTTCCAGTACATCACCAGGTGTAGAGAGAAGAACTTGGGAACACAGAAGGAGAGGAGCACTACATACCAGCTCATGTTGCTGGGCTTGGGAAGGAGGGCCACATGCCCTGCAGGGCTGCACAGAAGCACGGATAAGGCTCAGCCAGCTCTTCAGATGAGCCGTGAGGCAGGAGACTATGCTGCCAGCACACACTTGATCTTCTTTGAGGGTCCCTGAGAACCCACTGAAACCTGTTAAAAGATAATAACTTTCCACGATCCTATCTTTGCCCAGATGGAACCCAGCTTTTAGCTCCGCTAACAGTTCAGGGTTCCAACATAGCCCTTCAGTCTGGGCTCTGTGTGTGCACCTTTTTGTGTGCCTGCCAGAATGGCACTGAGGCTCAGAAAGAGTTCATTAGTCTACTTTTATTAAAAGTTTATCTTCTTGTATTAAATGGTTTGGGAGATAGTTAGAAGTATATATTTTAGAGTAGAAAGAAACCTTTTAGACATCAACCCCCTAAGTTTCTTCATCTACAGAAGGAATTCAGCACACAGCTCCCCAGGCATCAGCAGCAAGATGTAACTGTAGATTCTAGGCCTTGGGCATGTTGTGTTGGTCTACGATACTGGGTTGTACCCCAACTTGTATTTGTCCTGTGACCTTCATTCTCTCTTAAAGTTTCAGCTCCATTGACAGGGTTTTCACGTGCAATGAAATTATAGTCTCATGAATCCAGCACAACAGCCAAAGATCGTCCCCACTGCAGATGAGTGCTGCTTAGAGTTAGTACCTCTGTTTGGCAAGAAGTTGCTTTTTCAATAGTTTTGGGGTCTTTTTTTCCCAAAAGTATACTTTATAACTCAAATAGGGTTCTATTTTGTTAGCCTAAGGCTATAGCCAAGTGATGCATTTTCATGACTTGAACAAAAATACCATCATCAAGTGTGAAATTCTTGGTTTGCTCCAGACCCTTAAGTTTTGAAATGGAGAGCATCGTAAGCAGTGGTAGGTTAGAGGAGAGAGAGAATGCTCTGTTTTTAATAACCACTCTCTTCCTAGCCTGTTCAAAAGGGACATCTGATTCCAATTATCTAGCCGTAAATCTCAATGAAGTCAGCTTGAGCTCCATCACAGAAAGTTGTAAACAGCTTGGGACCTAGCAAGGAGACAGGGCATTTGACAAGGTCTTCCTTCACCCATTAGCCATTGAGGAACAGCTCACCAGCACTTTTAAGAAGACTGGAAACTCCAAGTCAGTTCTCAAGTCACACAGATATGTTGATCTTTTAGATGCCTTATACAGGCAACTCATTTCGCCAAATAATATCAAACCTTTTCAGTGCCCCAGTAGGAAATGTACAGGAAGAAAGACATTATTTATAGTCTGCAATTGCTCCTTCTTTCTTCATGCTGAGGTACAAGCAAAAAAAAAAAAAAATGATAAAAATAAAATTACCTGAGAAAAACATATTCCAGTTTTACTTATTTGGAAAAGTTTTATATGAATAGCAAATTTTGTCTTTAGGTAAAACTCAGTACTAACATTTGTAATGTCTGCTATAAGTCATGGTAGACAAAGCACATGATATTCCCAGGACCAAGTTTGTAATAATCTGGAGTGGATCACTTGCTATATTCTTAAAAAGAGCTTCTCTGATGTGCCTTTAGAGACTAAAGCATGGACAGACTGCCATACAAAA